GCGGTCACCCCGGCGACACACCTCGCCCAGATGTGCTCTCGCCCAGATGTGCGTGCTCGCCAAGGCATGCACATCCCCGGCCGCGCCATCACCCAGATGCGCATCCCCGGTCAGGGACGAGACCCTGCCGTGCATCCAGATGTGCACATCCGCATGGCTGTGTGCTCACCCAGATGTGTGCTCGCCCAGATGTGTCTGCTCACCCAGGTCTCTGCTCACCTGGCACACCCTTGCCCACATGTGTGCCCTCAGCCAGAAATGCGCTGCTGCTGTCCAGCTGTGCTCACCCTCCCATCCCTGTGCTCGCCCAGATGTGTGCACTCCCCTGCTGCACCCTCACCCAGCTGTGCCCTCATCCAGCTGTGCCCTTGCCTGCCCGGGACCCGCGGTGGAGTGCAGGGTGCCCTCCCTCCCGGGGAACGGGGGCTGCCGCCTGCCCTGAGAGCTCGGGTGTGACCCCCGCGGGCAGCGCGATCCTCGCAGCATTCCTCAGCCTGTTCTTAATTCGCTTCCCCTCCGTCGTGACGGGAGGGAGGCATTAATTAACGCTGTTGCTCATCAGGTGCTACGGCAGCGCCCGTGTCGCAGGGAAGGGCCTCTCGGCACACCGGAGCCTCAGCCGGAGGGTCCTTTCTCTGCCGCAGGGGCACCTCTGTGCCCCATCGCTTCCGTGTTTGGGCAGCAAAACGTCTTCACTCCTTTTACTTTGTTTTTGGGACGAGCTCTGCCCGACAGGCGCCGCTGCCTTGGTGCTGTCAGGCTCTGGAGCCGGCAGTGCCCGGTTCTGCTTGCCCTGGGGCAGCTCTGCGTGGTGCCCTGCCTGTATCAGTTCTGCCAGCTGGACCCAGCCCTGCCCAGACTCACCCTCTTCCTTCTCCGCAGTTCGATGCTGAATTTCGCCGCTTTGCCATGAAACGCTCCAGCGCAGGCAGCTTCCAGGATTTCTACCAGCTGCTGCAGACAGTACACCAGATCCCGCGGGTGGATGTGCTCCTGGGCTACACAGACATCCATGGTGACCTCCTGCCCATCAACAACGACGACAACTACCACAAAGCCCTGTCCTCTGCCAACCCCCTCCTCAGGGTCATCATCCAGAAGAAGGGTAAGCAGGATCCGGAGAGCGGCACTGGGTCCATCCTCCCCATCAAGAGAGATGAGCCACATCCCATGGTATTGCTGGTTCCACCTTTGGGTTGTGCCAGTGGGGAGCATGGCCAGTCACATATCCTCCAGATCCTGCTTTGGCAGATGGATGTGGAGGTGGTGGCACTGGGAGGCTCCCAGAGCCCCACTGAGGCTATAGCACCCGGGTGGGCTCTCCCTGGCAGCTGAGGGACACTCGCCCCAGCCTGGCCCCAATGAGCAAAGGCAGATCCTTGCAATTCACCCCTTTGAAGTCAAGTTTTCCAGCCAAACTTGTGTGGGCTCTCGGAAAACACCTGTGTTACTCCCATGAGCGCTGTGCCAGGAGCTGTATCCAGCTCCCCGCCCTGAAGAAGTGACTGCCATCATTTTGGCAGAGCTCTCAGGGTGCTGGGTGCCACTGAATTTTTGGTGGCAGCCCAGGGACTCACCCTGACTTTAATGGCAGTGTCCTGGATGAAAGCTTCCTAGTGACAAAAACTCTGGGTACTTCTCTTTGCAGGGGAGATGAGCCTATCCCTTATCACTCAGTTTGGTAGCACCGAGGTTTTCTCTTCTGTAGCATCATCAGTCAGCAGTGCACAGAGCCAGAGCCTGACCCAGAGCCCCAGTTTTCCCAGCACAGCATCCAGAGCAACTCCGTGTTTCTAGCTCATGTACTACGAAGTCTCTGGTCGAGGGTGATGTTGGTGGCCAGTCCTGGTTGCTGTGCCAGTTTCCCTTGGCTTTTGCATCAGGGTGGTGCAGGATGCCCTGGACATGTGTTTCCTCTGTGGCCACGTGGTGTAGGAGCTGGCAGTGGTGATCCAGGCTGCTGGAGCCTGTGATGTGCTCAGGGGCTCGTGGTGTGCTGCCAGCACTGAACCATCCCCTGTTCCTGGACCAATGTCTGGACCCAGACCGTGGCATGGAGACCTGGCACAGGGGTGGGTGTGTTGGGGTATTGCTTCTGCTCCCAGAGCCACCTTGTCTGCTGTGTGAATAAGCCTGTGAGGGCCTATGGCTGACCATACTGAGATAGCACAGCATGGAGAGCAGGCAGCCACAGCCCTGGCACTGTGGACAGCATGATAAGGAGGACAATAAGACAGCACTGACAAGGCCCAGCACCTGGCTGTGCCCACAGGAGAGGGCCTGTGCTGGACTGGCAGCACCACAGGGAGGTGTGCAGAGAGGCCAGGAGCAAGCCCTGGGTGAGTCACAGCTGATTTAAAATGGATCCAGGTCATCCCCAGGCTGGGCTGTCGTTGAACCGGTCCGGGTCGCTGAGGAATGTGGCTGCAGAGCCTCTCACCCCACCGGGTGCAGGGAGCTATGCACATGTGTAGGTAAGTGTGCACCTCTTGGTGGGCTCTGCAGCAGCCAGTCCTGCTGCAGGGAGGCAAAAGGCAGAGGCTGCAGCTGTGTTCCCCTCTGTGTCATCACCCTGTTGGGTGAAGTCATCCCTGCGGGGCAGCCTCGCTGAGACAGCACCACTGTCCCTCCTTGGCTGGGCCAAGGCTCATGGGAAGGGCAGGAGAAAGCCTGGGACATCACCAGGGCCACTAGCAGGCTCGTCCTTGGAGTGCTGGACCTGCCTAGCCCAGCCGCTCTGCTCCCCTTGGAGAGGAGCTGTGTGCTGAAATAGCTGTGGGAAAGCCTCCACCGCCCTTCCCGGAGCTAAAAATATGCCAGGCTGTGTGTGCAGGGAGATATTTATAAGCCAGGAGCCCTGGCAGGCTGGCTTGGCTAGGGAGAAATCCCATGTCCCCTGGGCTTGGGGACATCCCCAGCAGTCCTAAGGCTGGAGCAGGGTCCAGGTGATGTTGGGGGCACTGTGGGGAACGTGGTGACCATGCAGCATCCAAATCTGCACTCCCTCATGGAAATGGATGGGGAGAAAGCAGAGAGGAACCAGAGGATGCTCCACAGCACCTGGTGGATGGGGCCAAGGAGGATGTGGTGGAGCTGGGCCCCATGGGGCAGCCCCAGGGCAGGGTCCAGGAGGAGGGAGTCAAACCCTGTGTGAAGGTGAATAAGAGACACTGGCACAAATCAGAGTCTGGGATGTTCAGGGGCCCTGGGGATGCTGCAGCCCTGGGATGGATCTCCAGAAGGTAAGGAATCCCTGTCCTTGGGGATGGCAGGGCTCTGCAGGACACAGCAGTGGCCACCCCTAGCTAATGCCGGTGCTGGCTGTGCTCTAGTGGGGCAGGGGACTCTGGTGCTGTCTCACCGGGTTGGACTCGCCCTTGGGGAGCTGGCTGCCACCACAGCACCCCTCGTGTGGGGTGTTCCCTCTTCCCAAACCCAAACTGGGGCACGGCTGCAGCTCCCAGGCCATCAGGGCTGGCAGCTCTAGTGTTAAACCGCAGAGTTTGGCTTAAAGTGTGATTAAGGATGAATCACTGCCTCGATCCCACTAATCCTGGCCTGTGTATGCTGGGTAATCCCAGGAGATGGGCCCCAGGCAGAGACAGGCTGCAGGGAAAGCCAGGGTGATGCTCCAGGCAGGAAAAGCCAGTGAGACCTGTGGGCAGGGCCCTTCTCCTCCAGCCACTTCCCCCAACACCTGGGGCCAAGGGCACGTGTTTGCATCCCTGGGCAGCTGCGGTACCTGACCAGCGTCCTCCTTGCTCCCTACAGCAGAGTCTGACGCTAGTGTCTTCGCCTCAAACTCCTTGCAGCGGAAGAAGAAGGGGCTGCTGCGCCCTGCACACTACCGGGCCAAGCCTCACCTGCTCATCGGGATGCCCCAGGACTTCCGCCAGATCTCCTCCATCATCGACGTGGACATCCTGCCCGAGACGCACCGCCGCGTGCGGCTGCACAAGCACCGCTCCGACAAGCCGCTGGGTTTCTACATCCGCGACGGCGTCAGCGTGCGCGTGGCCCCGCAGGGCGTCGAGAAGGTGCCTGGCATCTTCATCTCCCGC